ATTATGGATGTCACAGGTACGCAAGTTCCTACTTTTGTCTCTTTCTTGATGGTGACTGGATAGTCATTGACATTGATAAGTCTCACAGGTATTTCTTTAGCCGAAGTCACCAATTCCTTTCCAATTATGATTCCACGGCCAACTTCGTTGTCATGGTTCCAAGGCTCCATCATAACAGGTGTCCCTTCGTCCACAATTCCCTGTAGCCGCGCTACTATGATCGTTTCACTTCTCGCAGGCACGACTGTATCTTCTTTAACGGCTGCTTGCATAGTGTTGTCATCATGTGGATGGAGAAATACCTCCTCGTTACCAACTTTGATTACCTTATTCTTAAAATCCAATTGGAATCCATGCGTATTCATTACGTCCATTCCTAATATAACATCCTCTTCGATGTCAGCAACTATAACAGTATGGACGAACTTTTCTGCTCCAATTCCTAATTGTATCTGGATTTCTCCGTGAATGTTGGCATTTTCACCTGTAGCGGTCCGCAGTCGCAACCTCGTTGGTAACAGTTTCTTACGGCTGTTTATAACTGTCGGGCGAATAATGGTTCTTGTCGCTCCAGTATCCACCAACAACGTATGCTTTTTACCATTTATTTCTCCATCTACATAGACACTATCTTTTTTTACGACATTTCAAAGAAGCTATTAGTATCAGAGGGTCTTTGGTAAAGTTCTCGGTCGAAGCTGCTCCCCTAAGGCCGACGCGTTCTGGTTTTGTCTTCGGTCTTATGCTCTTCGTTTTCTTGTGTGTCATGCTTTTCATCATATTAACGAGCTGGTCAAGTTTATCTTCATCTACTTCCTCTTTTACAGTCCTAACTTTGCTATACCCGCCAGAGGCCTGCGTAGCTGACTCGTATTCGAGGGCGGCGGATAAGACATCAACCAGCGTCTTGTGACGAGCTAATCGTAGTGTTCTTTGCATCTCATGATCACGAAGACCATCAATAAACGTTTGAACGGCCAACTTTTCCATCATGTTTTCAGGAGCTGTTGGATAAGCATATCGCACTTATCTGGCAATATCTACTTCATATTCTTGAAGAGCCTTATCTTTCTTTTGTCTTCGATTTTTGAGCTGCGACTGATATACATGCTCCAAGTGTTCGTGGCCATATCGCATATTTAACCTCTTCTTCAGTTGTTCGAAATCATCCGTCTCCTCTACGGCTATGGTCTGGAGCACATCTAAGGCATCTCCTCGAAGAGCGATAGTTAGGTTTACAGCCTTTTCTTTTTCAGACCATCCATTCGCTCTTGCAGCTGATTCGAACTGTTTCATGTAGTTGTTCCATGACGATTTTCCGTCGAAAGTTGGAACCAAGCAACTTGGTTCTTTAACGACGACACCCTATCATCGAGGGCAGACATCACAGAAGTGACTTTAGAGATGTTAGCAGAAACTTTGCTTTCCAGAGAAGAAATCTCGTTAGAAACTTTGTTCTCTAATGATGCGATGTCACCAGAAATTTTCGAAATATCGCCAGAGACTTTGTTCTCTAATGATGCGATATCACAGGAAACTTTGTTAATCGATGAGATGACAGCATCTTCAAATATATAAGTTTCCGGAACTAAACCCTCTTCCTCCAAAGCCTTCTTTAGTCGTTGGACTAGCTGAGTCTTTTTTCCGGTAGAAGCTAATTCTCTGCCTTCAAGATGCCTTCTTAGATTCGTAACTGTGAGCTCGTAAATCGTAGCCATTGTTCACCAATTTCACTTCTGACACCACTGTTAAATTTATATAGTTCTAATTTATTTGTCTTTATTCTAATTTATTGTCTATATTCTAATTTATTAAAACTCACGATAACTAATTACGAATTTATTAAAGTCTTTATTAATCCTAATTTATATTACAAATAATTTATTTATGTTTCGTTACAATTAAATCGCGTTTTCCGATCTTCTTATGACTAACTCCTCAATAAAAATCTTCCGGTATTTATATGAAACCAGCTTGTAACAGAATGTTGTAGAAAATACGATGCCGTTCTCGATCTCGACGTAGACACGGCGGCGACTGGTCTTAAAACTGGTATGTTCTTTATCGGCTCGTCGCCCCCAGAACATTCGATTGTTGTTTGTTTAGCGAAGGGGACCCAAATGATGTCAGGTAGATTTTTGACCTAGAAATTACGAGAATCAATACAAAAGAATTAGTCATAAAATATTTACAGTTCTATACGCCATAACATTTAAAATCGTAACAATATTCAAAATAGAATTTGAATTTGTTTCTTTTACATGGAATTTTACACAGAATTATAAAGAGAAAGGGGTAAGAAAGACGGCACCAAGTTAAGAAAAGTCCAGAATGTGGGTTCAGAGAATATCCCAGAAATAACAATGAGGTCTCGAACTCATTAAATCGAATGAAAAACAATAAAGCAGCTGCTGGTGATAACCAAATCGTTATTAAAGAAGTTAAAGCAGGAGGAAAGACAGTATTGAAAGCATTGACACAATTATATAACTTATGCCTTTCAAGAGAGGTTACACCATCTCAGTGGAATAAAGCTGTTATAGTCGTCATGCATAAAAAGGGAGATCTAATAGTGTAAAGAACTATAGACCTATTAGCTTGTTATCTCACGTTTATAAGTTGATTATAAAGATAATAACTAATAGGTTAACATCAAAACTAGACTTCTGTCAACCTTGCGAATAAGCAGGATTTAAAGCTGGATACGGAACAAATGATCATTTGCAAACTATTAGGTCGTTAATTGAAAAAACCATTGAATATAGTAGACCCGTGATACTTGTCTTTGTCGACCTTGAAAAAGCATTTGATACGGTCAATTAAAGTGAAATGCTCCAAGCTCTAACACAATGTAGAATAGATCAACGATACATATCCCTTATCAGATACATCTATCAGCATGCTACAGCCTGTGTAAGACTTAATGAAAATACTGGTATCTTTTGTATTGAAAGAGGCGTTCGGCAAGGAAACAACATGTAAACGCTTGTAAAACAATAGATTGGAACGAAAAGGGCATCAATGTAGTTGGAAAATTTTTAAATAACCTTACATTTGCAGATGATATCATTCTTATTGCAGACAGCTTTGATCAGGCACAGATAATGCTCCAAGAACTCCATACTGCCACAAAAAGAGTTGGTCTTAAAATAAATTTTTCAAAAACACAATTTATGACAAATTTAGTCCACAACAAAAACATCTCAGTAGAAGACAAAGATATTGAGCCAGTTGACTCCTATAAATACTTGGGCCATGAGATCAGATTAAGTCGAGACAACCAAACAATCGAGCTGAAAAGAAGAATAAACCTCGCTTGGGCTACATTTGGAAAGATGAAGGATGTTTTTAGGTCTAAGATTCCAATGTATCTAAACAGAAAAGTATTTAATCAGTGTATCTTGCCAGTAATGACCTACGGCGCAGAAACCCTAATACTCACACGAACAACAGTGAGTAAACTTTAAGTTGCGAAAAGGGTAATGGAGAGAATAATATTAGGGATTTCTCTAAGTGATAGAATATCCAATGCTACCATACGCAATAGATCAGGAGTAGCACATGTTATTGAAAGAATAACAACAATAAAGTGGAACTGGGCAGGTCATGTAGCAAGATCAGTTAATGACCGGTGGACAAAAAGAACTTTGGAATGGAGGCCCCGAGCTAACATAAATAGAGGTCAACCCCCAACGAGATGGACAGATGACATAAAAAGAGTGACTACAAATTGGATTCAGATAGCGCAAAATCGGACTAAGTGGTACAGCATGGGAGAGGCCTATGTTCAGCAGTGGACGTTAGAGGCTAGTTGATGATGATAATATTCAAAATGATTAGTTATTGTCTCGCATGTTAATTTTGACCATGCTAGTTTTATATAGTCGACATTAACTTTGTATATAGGATAATTTTTTGGGAGTTTCAGTTATACTGTTTAGAGAAACTTGATATCATTAATATCTAAAAATTTGCGCTCTTAATATTTAATATATGATTAACAATATTACGAGAATTTAATCAGTTTAGATTTACGCTACCTTACACCGAATATTTTACGAAACATTGCCAATTTTATCATAAAACATTTTCCGATTTGACACTAGAGATTGCAATCCAGCAGCATTTTCAGTCCAGCTGGATTTTTGCAAGATTGGCTTGAATCCAGCTGGATCCAGCACGGATCCAGCAAAATGTGAAATCAGAATAAAAACATGATTTTAATGTTTTTTTTTTGTTTATTTATTACTATAAGCTTTGTAATACAAACTAATACAATAAATACTCAAAATAAAAATTATCTTAGGTGTATATAATCAAATACGGACGTATAATCAGTCGCAGTTCGCTATCAATCTTACCTCTCTTTAACTTAAAAAGGCTAAAGCAAATACCACAATTATCATGAGGTTCAAAAAAAGAACTCGTATTCAGTAAGCCGTGGAAGTGAAACATAGGGCTTTGCTTGTGTCGGCTAAGAATTGTCAGGAATGAAATTTTATCCAAATGAACTTATCAGTTGAAAGAGTAGCTCATTAAAAGCAAAATTCATTGATGGCAATTTGGAGCTGACACAAGTTAAGTAATATGTTTTTCTTTCATGGTCTACTAAGGACGAGTTTTTATTTGGATATCATGATCAAAATAAATCTGTCTTTTAAATGTCTACACAACAGATACATAAATTATTTAGTTTTTTGAAAGTGGACCTTAAAAAACGTATTTTATCTATCGTCTTATCGCCTAACTTACTACGCATAGATCTGCACATATAGCCGGTTGCGGAGAAAGCCCTTTCGGCCTCTACGCTGGTCAGTTTTAAGGTCATCAAATAGACTATGGACTAATAATAGCCTTTTACTTCTTCGGTCTTATAAACGGTCATTTTCTTTTTTAAAAACTTTTCGTAATCTTTTTGAGAACCAGTTTTTTTGGTTATAAAAGTATTCTCTCTCTCGTTTCAGTTCAATCTCAAGTTCTTGTTCTAAAGTAAAATTCACATATCAATATGTCCTCTTGCGCTGTTTCCACAGTCACTTGTTTATTTATACGACTTAACAAATTTTTTATATCTTGTCGCATTGCGTTATTTTTCGGCGTGGAGAGATAACCAGGATTGTTTATTTCTTCGTCATACTTTTTTGGATTTTGTAAGTACACTAATGTTCCTGTAATTTCAAAGAGGAGCTGTTCCGCGATTCTGTTGCTTAATGGTTCCGATAGCTTGGCACTAAGGCTAGAGTCCTGACTATTTAGTTTGTCTAAGACAAATTTCAAGATTGTATCGGCAGGTATCAAAGTGCACGCTCTTCTGCAAAGAGCTTCTACAGCCAGTTTCAGCAGTTAAAGAGTGGCGAATAACTCATTGATTATCGACCACTCGCTCTCAGAGAATTTTGTCGCAGAAACAATGTCTATCAACGCTTTATCGATGCAAACTGTAGGCTGTAGAAATATTCCAGCATACTGAGCAAACTGTTCACCCTGGTGCGGCAGTAAAAATCAAACTTAATTCCTTGCCTTTCTCTTCATTGACATATTTTTCCAAGAACATGTCTTTGGTAGGTGATTTTTTGAACGTTTTAACAACTTTCCGTATTTTTATGAGTAGATCGCTGTAACTGGGAATTATTTCAACAAGACTCGCCGATGTTGGTTCGAACGTTACTGCCAATTCTTTATTCATTTCTGTCTCCATATCTTTATTTTCGTCTTCATATTTATCAGTGTTGTCTATTGCTGCTTGTTCTACATCTCTTTGAGGTTTCTTTTTATACAACACGTCTACTACAGCCAAATGAATTCCATGTGCATAGCACAGTTGATAGCAAGGCATAAACTTGCCAACTTTCACCATAACGGATGCGTCATCGATTGTGATACCAATGGTGTCGGATTCAATCAATAAACCAAAAATGTTCAACCGTTCTACCACTAATTCAATGCAGTGTTTGGCAGTGCACGAGCCGTAAGTTCTGATCAAACATAGATTAAAATGTTCTGCATTGTGCAAATTGAGATCTATGTAGCTGTGATTTTTTTGGGAGGTCCACTCGTCGAAGCTCAACGAGAATCTTTATCCTTTTTGTTTTAAATGAGTAAATTCTTTTATAAGATCTGCTTGGACTTTCCCTGCATACCTGTAAATTATCGCTCTTATAGGGTTCGTAGAAGCTAGTAACTAAAAATTAGACAAATAGAAGAGGTCTAAGAGTCAGTGGGTAGGCGTAGGCCGTGCAGTTGAGATAGAGGGCGACGCGATATGGCAGTTCAATCGCACTTGTGGCACGTTCTATCTACTAGCGCGATAGAATGGCAAGTTGCCGCACGGCTTTAAATAAAGAGGCTAATAAAGACATGAAGTAACTTATTTCGAATTCGACACGTTTGCAGATCCTCGCTGCCGGATCCAGCACGGTTTGCTGGATCCAGCTGGAATGCTGGATGCTGGATTCAGAAATTGCAATATTTTTTTGACACCTATAATCTCTCTAATAAACCAGGCAGATCTGTAAAAAACGACGAATGTGAGATGCGGTAGTCCGAATTTTACACAAAAAATTGTATAATAACTTCAGTACTATTAATTGACTTATCCTTCCTCTCAAATATGTCATAAATACTTCTGTGTTCTGTGCGTAAAGCGAGTTAAGTCCAAAAATGGTCGAAATTAGTAAATGCAATAACTGTATGTTATAATATGATATCTACATATTCATTTTTGCACTAATGAAAAACAATCAGTACTAATTGTGTTAAGCGTGTTAAGTCCTAAATTTAGACATATCACTCTTAACACAAAATATTATTTAACTAAACCAACAAAATAATCACAGAAGGAAACCACAACTGTAATCTTAAAAGCGTTATGTTGTTCATTCAAGTACTAACATGTTTGAAATGACCTGAAAATAGACAAATCAGCTGTTTAACGGATGGGCGTACAGTGCGTCAACGTAATAACTTATTAGTTCAGAGTGTGTTAAGTCATGGTTGAGCGCAAAATTGTGGGACTTAACACACTGAGTCTTCATGTTTCTTAAAAGGTTAACCATGTCATCGAGAGCACAGTGTATACTGGACATGTTAAAAACGATGAACTTGAGCCAGAAGCAAGTCCAAGCCGTGGTAAGTTTTATTTAAATTTTGCAAAATATTGCTAAAGACTTTGGGCCGTATTACCAATGATCTATTTAACTTTTAATTACGAAAACATTACATGCTTACTACATCATTTCTATTGTAGATTATAATTAGCCGTTTCACTTTTACACAAAAGATAACTAATAAAGCTCTCTCTGTTATTTTTTAATAGATCGTTCAATATATGACTGTTTTTTTAACAATAGCGTACTGTAGTGAGCTACAGTTAAGAGCTATTGCTTAAGAATTGTTTTCTGTTGGAAATAGTAAAAAGGGGTAAATGCAACTTTACTCAAAAATAAAAAAAAAAAATTCGGGTAAGGTTTAAAAAATTGGATATTGTTTTCAAAGCAAAACTAATTTCTGAAATTTTACTTTTATTAGGATCTGTTGAATATTCCCTTCCGTTACCATTAGAACAGGAGATAAGGGTACCTTTTCTCCCGTTAATGTTGAACAGACAGTGTTATTATAATTGTATATTGTTTCCAAAGCAAAACTAATTTTCGTTATTCAAAGAGATAATCAGATCTATTCTGTAACTTTTGACAAATCGAATAGAAATCACCAAGTCGAATCGTAATTACTCGAAATCGGAATGTTGGATATCTATCGCGTCGTTTTTGTGTTCGGATTGGCATTCTGTAACTCACATCGTAATCGGTGTAAATCGAAAACGTCAACTTCTACTTGACGCGCTCAGAAGTTGGTGGCAGCCCCGCATTGAAACGCGAAAGAAGTGTTCTGTGACGCTAAGTTACTGGAAAGGCTAGTGCTCGCGAAACATTCATCAAAAAAGAAGATTATATTTCACGTCAAGTAGTTGTGACATGTTTTGGTTAAGTTTGAAAAGTTCGTTAAAAGAATACAAAATGGCAAGCGGGAAAGCAAAGAAAAAGACATTTGCTGAGCAGCTAAATTATTTAGTAAACTGTATCTAAATAAATAACACCACAGACTAAAAAATGAAGTAGGTTCAAAAATTAATCAACCGCTAATTTAGATCAAAAAGTCAACAAATAAATGTCAAAACAACCAATGCGCAAGCGTCAAGACCAATTTCGATGTCGAAATTTGATCTCGACAGAGCTTGTCTAGTCGAAATCAATTTCTACACAACATTCCGATAGTAGAGGTCGAGATGAGTTACAGAATACCGATTCCTACAAATTCCGATCCGACTTGCTGACCTCTACTCGATTTGACTCATTTCTATTCGATTTGTAGTTACAGAATAGGGCTGATTATCTAAAATTCTACTTTTATTATGATCTGTTGAACATTCTCTTCCGTTACCATTAGAACAGAAGATAACGGTACCTTTTCCCCGGTGATGATTAACAGAAAGTGTTCTTTTCGATAGAAGATGACAAAAAATGTTTTTGGGTTCAAGTCCTGCTCCAAGTATTCCACCTAATTTAATGGATCTGATTAATTAAGATGACTCAGACACAGATGCCAACTACAGTCCACTCGAAGACCTGCTTGCTTATGAGTCATCAAATGATGAATATAAAGTTGTACCTAAAAAAATGTCGATGAACAGTAAGACCTACACAGATTTGGTACCAGTGAGTGCTAATTATTTTGGAGCAGATATACAAACAGAACCAACTGATTTACCACTAGAAGCTAAGATACGGATAACTTTGTAACTGAAATTAATCGAGGTATTTATGAAAAAGAAAACTTATGAAAAAGAAATACTAACTTGTATTATAGCAATACCTGCACAAGTTCCTCTTGCAAAAGCTGGAACTAGAAGAAGGAGATGATTAAAAGGCGAAATCAGGAGAGTAAGAGAAGAAAAAAAGACTTTGTGCATTGAAAAGGTTTCGGTACATTGAACAAGTGCATTGAAAAGGTTTCGGACATTATCTGTAAAAGTTCCTCGCAGACTCTTGGGAGATAAATGACTATAACAGGAGGTGTAGTTACATAGCGTCATTATTAGAGTTAGATGAACCTAAACTAAGAAGAGAAAGGAAAGGAAATAGTGACAAATTTAGACAGAGTAGTATCAAGTATCACATTGAAGTTGATGGTAACAGAGTTTTTGTTTGCAAGAACTGTTTTCTAAAAGTATTCGGAGAAGGTGAGAGACGGCAAAGAATCTGTTAGTCAAAATGAAAGATCATGTTCTTCTGGCATAATTGAATCGGAAAAAAGAGGAAATTTTAGAAATACCTTTATAACCGAAAAAGAAAATAATGAAGTAAATCAATTTTTAATTGAAATTCCAGCTTATGAAAACCACTACTCAAGACGAGAGTGTGTAAAAAAAATTGTTTCTCCATATTTGACGATAGTGGCATTATATGAAGAATATAAGCGTACTCTATCTGAAAGCAGTTCAAAACAGGTAAGCTATATTAAGTTTCCTGAGGAGTTCTACAACTTAAATTAAAAACTTAAAAAGCCTAATGTAGATACCTGTTTAAAATGTGATAGGTTAGATATGCAACTGAAAATATGTTCTAAGAATAAAAATCAGGAGTTTCTAAAACAAAAAAATAACCACGTTGATAACGCTGAGTAAGCGTCCGACTCTAAAAAGTTGGACAAAGAAAATTCAAAAGTTAATGATTTAACCAAACCTTCCCACTTCTCTCGTGCATAGTTCTGTAGCCTTCTATAAATGCCAACTTTGGACTTTTAATCTAACACTTTACGACTGCAGTGATGGCACAACTTACTGTTACCTTTGGCATGAAGGTGTAGCTGACAGAGATGCTAATAAAGTTGGCTCATGTGTATATAAATTTATTTGTGAAGATATAAAGCCTATTGTAAAAAGTTTGACCATGTACTAAGATACATGCAGTGGTCAAAACAAGAATACTTATGTAGCTGCTCTTTGTATGATAACCCTGCAAAATTCTACTAACTTAGAAGAAAAACAGCTTTTGCTGGAAACATTCATCATCCTCATGATTGGGCCCAACTCATACAAACCACTGGTAAGAAACGCTTTTTGTGATGAAGGAGATGCATGAAGATAGCTTCTTTGACTTTGCTAATCTGCTGTAAACCGACCTTCAGTAGCGAAAAGATGATGTTGTTAGAAACAATTTTAGCTAGCTATACTGGGATATACCGTGGCTGAAGTGTGTCAAAAACAAGCCTAAAATAATTTATTACAGGAATTCCCTAGA